CCCAAAAAAAAAAAAAATCCAGCTCAAGTCTCTTAACACATTGGCACTACCCTGTTGCACCAATATCTAAGCAAAAATAGACACTTGTGTTTAAAGTTAATAACACTGTCCCTTTTTGTCTTCATAAACTTTCTCTCCACAGTGAGGATTTAAGTATATCCTATTTGAGAACTGCTTTAACACTCATTTATCTTTCAGAGGTGAAGAAGGCCGCCTGCTACTGGAGGAATGCTTGTTGATAACTGAGAAGTTCAAGGGAGAGGGGCATCCCAGTTCAGTCTCCCATTTAGTGAATCTAGCCACTTCTTATTCACAGTCCAAAAGATTTGCAGAAGCTGAGCGCATGCTGAGGATGAGTTTGCAGATTATGTTGAAGAATGTTTCACCTGATGATCAATCCATTACTTTCCCAATGCTGCATCTTGCAGTTACTCTCTACAATCTAAACCGTAGCGAGGAAGCCGAAAAATATGCATTAGAGGTTCTGCAAATCCGTGAGAAGGCATTTGGGAAAGATTCTCTACCAGTTGGTGCGCTTATCCTTTTTCCTAATGTTTAACGTTAAGCACTATGTTTCTATCTGCTAGTTCCTAATGTTTTGCAAATTTTGTTCATTCATGTTATTTCTGCTTGCCCTCTTTATACATGTGTATGAAAGTAGTAGCTGGTTACGTGTTTAAGGTTTCTCACTTCTTCTCTTTCTTTTCTCCCATTTTGGTTAAAGAGTTTCTATATGCAGGGGAGGCTCTTGACTGTTTGGTCTCCATTCAGACCCAGCTGGGAAAGGATGACGGTGAATTGCTAGAGTTGCTCAAGAGAGTACTGAAAATTCAAGAGAAAGCTTTTGGTACTGATAGCGAGGAAGTCATGGAAACACTTAAAAAGATTGTATATTACTTGGAGAAGATGGGGAGGAGACATGACAAACTCCCTCTGCAAAGAAGATTATCAAAGCTCAGAAGTAAATATAACCAAATGGTTCAATATTAAGGATCCTGCAAAGCCACATGTCAGATGTGTACCTGCTTTCATGCCATTAGTGATGTCAAATCGCTTACGGTTCTGCAGCAAGAAACTTCTCTTTCTATTGGAAGTTCGAGTGTCTAAGTAGGAAAAGAGATTACTGGAGTATAGCAGATGATCGGTTTTTCTTGCTGCCATGGTGAACAAGGTAGGCAGTCAAAATAACAAAGATAAAATGACAGGCATATGAAAGAAATTCTCCTTTGCTATATCTATCCAAGAGTGTAAATGCAATTTCAGAGAACGTGAAGAAGCAGTTTGATATGAAAGTTTAGGGGACAGTGTTGTCGACAAAAGGTATCATACGTTGTTGATGCATCTTATGAAGTGTTAAAGTGTTCTTTGCCAGAGATTTTCGGGTCCTAATTAGCTTCATGACATCAATAGCAAAACAGCAATGAGAATGTTCTGCAATCGTGCTCAAGATTTCATATCAATAAGATAATTCGTCACTCCCATTTTCCAGAGTTAATAATGTTCGAGGAAATTCCCCCACGTCTGCAGTGGATGCTGTGGATTTATTTAACTGCATTTATGGATTCCATATTGGTTGCTTTCATGAATTCCGCTTCCTTGGTTTTTCTTTTCCTTTCCTTTCTTGCTTATCCTTTTTGATTTTGTTCAATCTTCTTCAGGCGTTAAAGCCTTGCTGCACAGAGTAACATCTACTCATCCTGCTACCTCTTTGCTTCTAATAGGTGTGGAGATGCATGCAAGACGTCGACCCAAATGGGACAGTTTCCATATTTACAATCTGATTGAACTATATTGTGCAATGGGTTTGAACACTGGAATATGATAGCATGCTTACCTGGAAGATTAGTCCTTGTTCATATGCAAGTGGTATCGACTGGTGCTAACTTGGTTTAGATGATAACATTACTGCATTTTCATGGAGCCTGGTCGTCTGTTGAAGAAAAATGTTACTGCTGAATCCCTTTACATGAGACATCCCCATTGAGCAATTTAGTGGTAGTTCAATTGGTACTACATAGAGAAGCTACAGACAGACTCCAGCTGCAAGTCCAATACATATCTGGTTAATCTGAAGGTTGAAGAAGCGTAGCTGTTTTCAATACGGAATGGAAATACATGAAATGGTGCTTGCATAGAGAAGCTTCATAGACAGACTCCAGCTGCAAGTCTGCATTATAACTGGATTATCTGAAGGTTGAAGAAGAATATATATGATCTTTCTCTTCAATGTGAATGTTGTAAAGAGTAGCAAATGACATCATTTTACTTGATGATTTCGGGTGGCAAAGACAGCAATATTGTGGTACCCAATGTCCAGATTCTTGAAATAATTGTTAGCTTATGAAACAATGCTTTTGGTCAAACTGTCTTTATACATTTGTTAATCTTCGCTTTGATGGGATCACAATTTATATTTGTAGGGGTTTTCATAAGCCAAGAATGGCAAAATATTCATTTTCTGTCAGGACTTCAGTCTAAGTGCCCAACAAATTGTCACTTTATGCTTTTCCTTTTAGAGTAAGATAAAACTGTTTCTTGTAAGATCAAACTGTTTCTTAAGTACTTGACAACTACAGTATTCATATACAAGTATCTTCTCAAGTAGTTTTTAGATATAAGTATTATGTTCAAACGATAAATTTATCCAACTTAGTTTACTACTAGAAAGCGTAATTGACAACTATTAATACGAAGGGGGTAGAGAAATGTCACGTAGAGAGTAAGGAAATAGGAGAAAAGTCCAAGTAGGTAGACCAATGCAGGAGCCTTAATCTAAAAGTTATGTAGTGAGGATATTGGTGAAATTGTGGTAAATATGCATTTACTAGTGATTACCAATAAGAATTATGATGTCGTGATAAATATTTCATCATCTTGAGGTTTTAGATTCCAATCTTGAGTATGGAATCGCCTTTGGTAGGGATTATACCTAATGTGGGACTTTATAATGTGAATATAAATTTAATCGGTCCCAATACGAGGGAAAAAAAGAGAGACTAAGGTGATGAAGGAGTCGGTGCTTTATTTAATCATAGGGACTAGAATTGTGCCCACACTCTATGCATGTACATAATTTTTAGATCGTTTAGTTTTTACTTTAAATGTAAATTCTAAAATCCAGCATTAACTAAAGTAGAATTTTATATGTAAAAAAGGATGGTGTAATTAAAAGCATTACGATGCCCTGATATTATAGCAGTGTAGTTACCATTTTATTAAGTTACTGATTAATGTTTATCAAGAGTTTGTAAGTTAATTGAATAAATACTTTTTTTTAAGTCTTGTTCAACTTGAAATTAATATAAAAATCTTAAGATAAGTATGTGAAATAGATCAAGTTATTTACTCTACGAGAATGTGGTTTTATTACATACGGAGAAGGTCCAAATATACCCATGTACTTTCGAAAATGGTCTAAGAATACCCTTCGTTATACTATTGGGTTATCTATACCCCTGCAGTCATACTTTGGGTTCAAATAAACCCCTATTTAAACGGAAGGACACGTGTCATCGTCTTATTGGCCAATTCTAAATATCTCCTAATTAATTAAAAATACTCATTATCCATACCCGAAAAGCAATTTTTTTTTGTTGTAAAAACTGGAAAAAAACTGATTTTATTTTTACTAAAAACTGAAAAAAACAAAAATATTTTTTTTCCAGTTTTTACAAAAAAACTGCTTTAAAAAAACTGAAAAATACTTTCTAAAACAATGTTTTTGTAAAAACTGAAAAATAATTTTTTAAAGCAATTAAAAACGGGAAAAAACTGATTTGTTTTTACTAAAAACTGGAAAAATCGAAAGTATAGGGGTATATTTGGACCTTCTCCGTATTACATATGTATCTATATCTATCTATCTATCTATCTATCTATCTATCTATCTATCTATCTATCTATCTATCTATCTATCTATATTATATATTATCTAAAGTATATAATATATTGTATATTAGACCATTTTCGTCTAATATTGGGGTATACTAGGACCTTCTCCGTATTACATATGTATCTATCCATATTATATATTATCTATACTATATTAAAAGCACGAAGGCCCTTAGCGAAATGTCGTTCGCCTTTTTTACCCTTTAAAAATAGATTTTACATTGGATAAAATTGTAATTAAATTATCTTCCTAATATTTAGAATTTGAAAATTCAAACTTTTGATTATTAAGTATTTCCTTTTTTGAAGTATATACCTAAAATTTATGACTTAAAGGAAATTAATATTTACCTTTAATAAATCATTAAAAAGGTCAAATGTTTGGAAGGCCGGTACACAATTTTACGTCCATTTGAAGTAGTCAACAACTAGAGTAATTTTATTGAAGAACAATTCTACTAACATTTAGCATTTTCAACAAATTACATTAATTTATTCTCATTAAGTTGTAAGCCGATGTAAGAATAAAATTAAAACTATTAAATATATAGGAAAATAATATTTCACTCTTTTAATCTTGTCTTCTTTTATCTATCCATAAACTATTATAATAGCACGAAACTCCAACAGGAAATTGATTGATCATTTTATCATTTAAAAATATATATCATATTGGACAAAAAAGTCATTTCATTAGTATTTTCTACGAGTAGTATTAAGGACGATGAAGTTAACTAAAATTTTGACTATTATATCTTTCCTTATTTGAAAATACAGGAACTCATAACATTTATGAATAATTTAATCCCAGTAAGATTTTACTTATATTAGTTAAATAAGTAAATTTTTGTGAGAATTTATTTTAGGAATTATTACTTTATCAAAAACAATAATAATCCATATGACATTAGAAATTTTTCGCTTCAATATGCAAAGAGACTCTTAAATTAATTTTTTTTCTTATATATTCAAGTGCAAATAATGGCAAGAGGAAGAGACGAAAACTCTAAAATCAAATTGTACAGAAATCTAACTCAAGAGCTCAAGATATTGTCGGATTGCTAAAATTTTGAAGATCTAAGACTTGGGTTAGCTTTAGAATTGTATGTTTGATATCGTGTTAATTTGTCAATATTTTTATTGGATTGGGAGCTTTTGGTTAATCTTTTTGTAGAAGATTTAAAAAGAGATAAAAATATAACATGCTAAGTAATTGAAACATATATACAAAGTGTCACGACCCAAAATCTAACCATGGTCGTGATGGCGCCTATCGTGTTACAAGGCAAGCCTACTTCCCAAAATATTACTATTAAACCGATTATAAGAATTTAATAAAATACTTTAACATTTAAATTTTTCATAAATAAATCAACTCTAAATATAATATAGAAAAATACGGAAACAAGCCCCAAACATCGGGGTATCACTAAGTCATGAGCATCTAAAACTATAAACTATCCAAAAGAAGAAATGACAAAATGAGTAACAAGGTCCTGCAGACGCTAGCAACTACCTTGCAATCTCCACAGATAGCCGGCCTGAACTCAACGATCGCCGCGCTCTAACTCACCTGGATCTGCACATAAAGTGCAGGGTGTAGTATGAGTACAACTGACTCAGTAGTAACAGAAATAACTAAGGAACTAAGCAGTAGTGACGAGCTAAATAAAACAGTCCAATTATTTATTTTCATAATTTAAAAATAAACAGATAAATTCCATAACTCAGTAAATGCAGCAACAACACAAATAAATACAACCTCACAGCAGTGTCACTCCATCACTCATCACTCGCACTCATCACTCAACAATCAAAATACTCAACATTCTGCGCTCACTCGGGGTGTGTACAGACTCCGGAGGGGCTCCCAAAACCCAAGTGCTAAGCACGGACAACTCACGTGCCATCATATCAATACCTGGATCCGCACGGTCAACTCACGTGCTACGCAGACAACTCACGCGCTATGGTATCAATACCTAGACCCGCACAGTCAACTCACGTGCTACGCGGACAACTCACGCGATATGGTATTAATATCCTCACAACCAGGCCCTCGGCCTCACTCAATCATGCACCTCACTAGCCTCACCGTCATTAACAAATAAGGGGACACAGCCCACATCAAGTATCATAATATATTAGCAAATAATAGAGACTAAGGTAAACATGTATAATAAATTCTATGACTGAGTATAATTAGTGTGAGCATGAATAAATACTAAGCATGATCTCTAACGTGAAGGCAGACAAATTTACCAACAAGTAAATGCATAAACACAGATAATGGTTATTAGGCCTCACAGCCTCACGGGACGGACCAAGTCTCAATCCCTCGAGGTATACACCCACACGCCCGTCACCTAGCATGGGTATCACCTCCAAACAATCACATGATATCAAATTCTCCGAGTCTATACCCTCAAGGCCAGAGTTAAAACTATTACTTACCTCAACATCATAAAATCCTACTCCGGGATGCCCTCGTCTCTGGACTCGGTCTCCAAAAGGTCCGAATCCCAATCCCTATGGTAAAAATCACCTTCAAAATCGCCCGAATCCGAGCTCCCCAACTCAAAATATGATGAATGAACAAACCCTTATTTTATATATTTTCTGCCAGCTATTCTGCCTCGTTTCTCGTGCAAACGATCCCGAAACTCGCTTTATGCCTCCAATGGATTCCTTGTGAAATTGTAGTCAAGTTAGACTTTTAAATTACTCAACTTGACCTTATAATGAAGGAGATATGTAGGTTTTAATATTTGCTAATAGTATAGATATTTAAATACACCGTCAGTGGTAATTTCGTAATTAATCTGAAAAATCTGGCAACCTAATTCTTAGTAAAATGACCATAAAATCCCCATACGATGTCCAAATGCAACGATTCTTTTTGCTACGGGTCCGTATACGATACGGATTTAATGCTTCAATAAAAAAGGAAATCAGAGCTCATTTGTTTCAATATGATATTATTTATGCTTGAAGAAACGGCGTCGAAACATAAGAAAAACGAGCACAACACAACCCAAACCTATCCGAAACACACCCGAGGCCCTCAGGACCTCAACCAATAATTCCAACAAGTCATATATCACTACCTGAATTTAGTCGAACCTCCGGAACACCCAAAATAACACTAAATCAACCTCCAATTCAAGTCTAATTCTACCACGGACCTCCAAATTACATCCCGAACACACTCCTAAGTCTAAAATCACCCAATGAGTTCGTTTATTCATAAGTCAACTTATGGTTGACTTTTCTAACTTAGCTTTCTAACTAAGGGACTAAGTATCTCATTTCACTTCAAAACTACTCCGGACCCAAACCTACCAACTCGATACAACTCAACATCGCTGAACAACACATAAAGAAGCAGGAATGGGGAAAACATGGCTATAACTCTAGAAATGACTTGCCGGGTCGTTACACAAAGAAATTGATCTAAAATGACCTGACATTTTAACAGTTTGAATACATTCTCTCTGTCTCAAAGTATCTTATTATACGTATGAATTAGTCAATATAATCATATTCAAGTGAAGTATGATGAGCCAAAAGGGTCATCTTAT